GCAATGGTCTCTTGGATATGACACCAAAAGCACAAGCAACAAAATGAAATAAATAAACTGGACCCCATCAAAATTAAAATTGTTGTGCTGCAACTGATACCACCAATAAAGTGAAAAAACTACTCCTGGAATGGGAGAAAATATTTGTAATTAATTTATTTTATAGTGGCCTTATGTCTATTATATATACAGAACTCCTGAAACTCTATAATAAATGAGATAACCCATTTCAAAATGGGCAAAGAACTGGAATAGATGTTTTTCCAAAGACATACAAATGGCCAAGAAGCACATAAAAAAATGTTCAACATCATTAGTCAGAATGTAAACACATCAAAATCAAGAGATTCTTCACACCCACTATAATGGCTATAACAAAGACATACAACAACAAGTGTAAGATTGCCATATACGTGATTCACTCATTTTCAGCCACTACTGCCAGCTTAGGAAGTTAGGAAGCTCCAAGTTATACCACCACTCCCACCAACACTAGCTCCATATTATTTAACCTAAAGAACTTTTTAAAATGGCCAGTTCCACCCTCCAGATTCTGGCCCAGGTATCTGCATGCATTGAGGGTTGATTCTACTCAGCCATAGTTGAGAATCACAGCACCTGGCTTGAAAAATAAACCTATCCTGCAGTAGCATATCACTCTACTTTACTCAGTTTGAGTAAAATATTCACCGGGGAAAAAGAAACCTCATGTCTACTCACACATACCCCTCTCCTGCCCCATGCATCCTGTAATTTCCCTCCAACCACCTTAAGGGCTTTTTTTTTTTTTTTTTTTTTTTTTTTTTATTAAAGATAGTGTCCTGCCATGTTGCCCAGGCTTGACTTGAACTCCTGGGTCAAGTGATCCTCCCATCTCAGCCTCCTGAGTACAGGAAGCAGCCACCACACATACCCACCTCCACTCACCTTAGGGTTAATCTTTGTTACTAGCCTTCACTACTCAGAATTAGTGAGACCTCTCCATTTCTGCTTCACTCATCTTATGTGGTTTGCTCACACTGACACCAACGAACACCTATCAATCCCTATGTCCCTCCTGTCTTCCAAAAATGCCTAGAAACTGCTGCTCTATTGCCGGTAGTTATTTCTTGTTTTCTAGTGTCGCTATTATTTGTCTACTGTACTTGGTTTTGCATTTTAGTCACCTGAATGATGTCTGGAAGAAGGCGGTTTCACTATTTTCAAATCTTTTTTTCACCACTTTATTGTCATTCAGATTACTACAAATGGTAAGTAGAAGCTTTGCAAAAGTAAAAACTGAGTGGTAGGAATCATTTTGGGAAAATATTCTGAACTATTTCAGTCCAATTAATATTTGATACTAAGCTTCTATAGCATCAGATGTTACTTATGTCAACATAAAGAGAAAATTCCTTTATTTTAAAAATTCTCCATTACCCCCATCTAAATATTGCCTGATAGTCACAGTATAAATTCAAGCTTGGAAAAACTACTGGCATCACTAAGTATCCACTGACACCAAAGTTCCTCTTCATCTTAGTTACACAACTACTGATGACCTGTTCTGACTGGTGACTGAGGGGAAGAAATAGAGAAATCAGTAAGATGGTTGGTAATACTTCAACACTTCTCAATGATTAATAAATTTGGACCCGTCGTCTCATCACTTAATCCTACCCAACATTTAATGCATGAAATTTCTAGTAAGAAAAAACAGAACCTCATAGATGGGTCTAATCAAATCAGCCCTTTCTAAAAATATGAAGGCTAGCAGTTGGTAACCTATATAATAAAAGGTCACTGTGTCAAAACCATGTAGTCCTTTCCCCTTTCCCCCACTGTATATCTGATTTGTGGGAAAGGGGAAATGAAATAAGATAAACTTTAAATTAATACAAGCAAAAAAGAATAGATATTTTCTTTTGATATCACATATGTAAATCAGAAACCAATATATAAATGATGCTCAGTGATTAAAAAATGTTCAGTTTATTTAAAATTCTTGTTTAGAGTCAACTTTATTTACTGGCTCCTTAACCAGTGAAACATTCTGAAATGTATTAGAGAATGGTTGTATGTTTTATGTATTTCATATCAAATATAATAAGTGACTTAATCAATTAACAAAAGTTCTTTGTTTGTGAATGATGAGAAAGACTGACACTAGCTTTGTATGGTTTTACTTTGGAAAGCTTTACAAATTTAAAGTAATAAATGTATTCATTTTCTTATTCTTTGCAGAAGTTCAATTTTAAAAAGAACATTACTGTTTTAAAATTTCAAAACATACAACATAGGCTGTGCTTGTAACATTTTCAGATTTGTCTGTGATAGCTTGATGTGATTAAGAGGAAGGAGAGTGGCTGTGAGTGGAGCAAAGAGGGAGAGAATATTCTTATAGTAAATGTTAGTAAAATTAAGAGAAATAATGGGTACTGTCACTCGCAATATAAAAACTTCTTGCTGTTTTAGCACAAGCTGGTGGTGATAAATTTTAGGTACAGAAAACATCAGAAAAATCAATAAAGTGTTCTAATTACTTTAAATCTACTTATTGTATGCTACTTTTTTTTTCAATTCAGAAATCTAAATATACACATTCAGAGCAATTAGTAAAAACTAACATATGCCTTGTCCAAAAAAAGAGACATTTCCAAAAAAGGAGTTAGCCAAATACAATAGCATGATTACAGAATTATAGCAAGCTGAATATGTACACAGTATTATTTAAACAAACATCAGAAAGTAAAATAAATACACAACCCTCTCTTCCCTCATCAAATTACTTTCATAAAACCTAATATTGGTATTCCAAAGAACAAAAGTATAAAAACTACTGTATGACTATTCACAACAGTATACACCCTGCTTGATTTCATTTCTTCAGCATCTTTCCTTCTAACACTCAGGTCCTACAGCAACTACTTTGTTGGATCAAATTAAGAAAAGTCTAAAAACTAATAGTAAGCTGTGATGGTTTGCACCTATAATCCCAGCTACTCAAGAGGCTGAGATGGGAGGATCCCTTGAGCCTGGGAGTTCAAGGCTACAGTGAGCCATGATCACATCACTGCATTCCAGCTTGGACAGAACAAGACTGTGTCTCCAAAAAATATAGTAAGGCTTTATGACCAAGCATGGTGGCTCACGCCTATAATCTCAGCACTTTAGGAGGCCAAGGAAGGAGAATTGCTTGATGCCAGGAGTTTGAGACCAGCCTGGGCAACACAGCAAGATCTCATCTGGACAAAAAAATACAAAAATTAGCCAGGCATGGTGGTGTGCAACTACTGTAGTCCCAACTACTTGGAAGGATCACTTGAGCCCAAGAGGTCAAGGCTGCAGTGAGCCAAGATCACACCATGCCCTCCAGCCTGAGCAACATAGTGAGACTCTAACACATACACACACACAATAATAAGACTTTACATGAATGGTCATTGGTTATGATGTTCTTATTCTTTATAAGAGAAAATCTGTGTATACTGTTACAGCTGAATGGTATTTGGTATATGGCATGCCAGTCTTCCACATGTACTGAAGTTTAAGAAAGGCTTGGATCCAGTATGTATTCTGGATGTCGGGGGGAAAAAAAGGCTTGGAAACCAGGTTATCCTATTATTTAAAATATTTAAAATTACATTATTTTAGAAACAGAGAACCAAATACAATTTGATATTACCATAAAATTACTATAAAATAGTTTTGCTCTTTTTTCACTGTTTACACCTTTCCCCCCTACATTAAGTTGTGTAAGTACTTGAGAAACATACTTAACACTGAACTTCCCAATATATTTGGGAAGTTATGATATGAATGTTAAGTATAAAATAATACGGGTAGTTCATGTTAAAAGAACTCAGAGGAAATTTCCCTGCAGGGTAACTACAAAGATGTTTTTCATGCTGCATTTGTCCTGAGATGTAACTCATTCCTCTATCTCAATCATTACATTCTACTCATTACAAACACTCCTATGTGCTCTCTGAGCTCATCTGAAGAGAACGGAATTGAGTCGATGATTTAAGTTACGATTTTCTCCATTCTCCTAAAGACTGTACATAATTAGTACCATTCTAGATGACACAGGGACTTAGGGCTGAATTTTCTCCTGAAAACCAAATTGAGAAAGCCTGTGATAGACACTAGCACACCTCCTTCTCTTTCCCCCTACTCCCAGACTGCTCTGGCCTCAAACCTATCCTATCTATTTCACCAATGGCTGACACTGTCCTGTCTGCACCGAGAGTGAGAAGCACCCACAGGGAAAAGTTATTTTAAAATATCCAACTTTATATATTTAAAGCCTCATCTTTCCTCATAAGCTATTTTCTCTTCCATTCCTACCTATGTCAAGCTCAGCATATAACAAGTCATCTTTTTGTGACATCAAAGTCTTCAAAAGTCTTTCTGGAGATCTAGAATCTACAATTTCTAAATATTTTGCATAACATATAAAGTGCATGTAAATTGAGTTATCCTACACCTGTGAACTGATGAGAATTATTCTGCTCAAACAGGCGGTGAAAACCTTTGCTTGACTTTCCTAAAAGGATAAACAAATGCTAAAGAAGGATCGCTTTCAACTACAGTGAGATTTTTGTGATATGTGCTAACTGGAAAAGGTACATTTTTACTAAGCCATAAATAATTTTAAAAGAGTATCATTCCACAGTATATGGATCTTTTTCATTATACTGCAATGTAATTTGAAACTAGATTATTTTCCTTGCTAACACCAAGAAGCAACAATTTGTTTAGCTTATCTAGTGATGACCTTTTTCCTCTTACAGGTGACAATGATTCTAAAACAAGAACATCTGAAAACAGTTGAAAAAACTATCCCAACACTTCAGTACATTGGAAAAGTGGTCATATCACACTATACTATAGACCATGGGTTGGTAAATTTTTTCCATAAATGGACAGATGGTAAATATCAAGCTTTGTGGGCTATAGTTTCTGTGGCAGCTACTCTGCCACTGTAACAGAGAAGCAGCCATAGACAAGTAAAAGAATGATCTTGTGTTACAATAAACTTTATTTATGAACACTAAAGATTCATGTTAATTTTCATGTATCATAAAAGTCTTTTAAAAAAACATTTAAAATTATAAACACAATTCCTAGCTCACAGGTCATACAAAGCAGGCAGCTGGCTGGATTTGACCCACAGGCCATAGTTGGCTGTCTCTTAAACAGGCTTTTATACATTATGCAAAGTGTTTCAAATTCCAGAGACTTTGGAGACTTCGTTTTTTAGATTTCTCATTTTAAAACATATATAATACAAGTTTTCTTTCTGGATCAATATACTCACATGAGAGAAAATAATTCAGAAAAAAATAAAATTCCTTACTTAAAAAAAGGAAAAAGCTGTAAAACAAATGTTTCGTCTTAAAATATATTTAGGAAACGTACAATTAAAGATTAAAAATTTTATTCTATGCAACAAAATAATATGCATAAATCTGGTACATAATTTCTTAGTTTTTACTTTAGAAAAAAGACAGTTAAGAAAAAGGTTTATAGGCCGGGCGCGGTAGCTCACGCCTGTAATCCCAGCACTTTGGGAGGCCGAGGCGGGCGGATCACAAGGTCAGGAGATCGAGACCACGGTGAAACCCCGTCTCTACTAAAAATACAAAAAATTAGCCGGGCGCGGTGGCGGGCGCCTGTAGTCCCAGCTACTCAGGAGGCTGAGGCAGGAGAATGGCGTAAACCCAGGAGGCGGAGCTTGCAGTGAGCCGAGATCGCGCCACTGCACTCCAGCCTGGGCGACAGAGCGAGACTCCATCTCAAAAAAACAAAAAAAACAAAAAAAAAGAAAAAGGTTTATAAATTTCTCAGTCCCTTTTATACAAAGTTGCGACTGAAACCAGCAATCACTTAGGTGTACAACCGTCAACTCTGAATATAATATGAATTATACCTAGGAACTGTAATTTACCAAGATGAGTTTTGCCTGCTTTTTGAAAAATGCACAATTATATCACAGAACGTTGTGTTTTCTTTTCTACAATTTGTAACAATTTTGAAAAGGAAACTCCTGCCTCCATAATATAAGGAAACAAGAATACTCTTTCCATAGTCATCATCCTGTATTAAAAAAAAACTTTATAGTCTGATTTACCTTTGTCAAAGGTAAAATGATTCACATTTGCATGGATTACTCTGATTCTCAGTAGTTCCTAAACACAAAACAAATTTTGCATGAACCTTTACCTGGGTTTTCCAAAGCAAGTATTACACTGGCAGAAGTCCATGAGCTGAAGAAAAAGACACTGAATATAAAAGGTTTACCAACTTTATCCTTTCTAATTTTACAATAGCTTCAGGCATTGAGACCTAACTGGTTTCCTGTGCCTATCCATTGTGAACACATCTCAATCTTCTACTTGTAATACTCCTCAGCACCATATTTTTGTCGTTGCTTTATTGTGCGACGTAGAACATCCTTTCGTCCAATTTCAATCATGTGTTCTTCCCAAGACTTCATTTCATTATGATAACGAATTTCGTCCTCTTTAGCATGCTGAATATATAACTGAGAAAAAGCATAACTGTTAAAATGACTTACTTATTTTTTGAGATAAAATGATTATTTAAAATCGCAATTAATTTCTGGAAAGGTTCTGTATATACTTTAGAAATTACATTACCATTCTACATGTATAAAGGCAGACTGGAGAAGAAATATTTTCATGAGATAAAAGTTAGATGAGGAAAATGTTAAGAGATAGACTGTTATCTCTTTGAATGAAATTGTTACAAGTTCAGATCTTGAGGTGCAGGAAGGGGGCAAGAGCAGGGTATGACTGCCACTAAATACAGTGGACACTCAGGCTTATGAGTGCTGTGGTTTCAAATACCAATTTTATTTGCAGACAAAAAGTACCAAGAGAAAAATGTCAAACTGGTTCTGAGAATATGAAAATAATTTTAGAATACCTGTATTATTAGAAATATAAGGTTGTCTTCACATGAATCAAGCCTTGCCCTAATACATTCTCTCACAGATATCCTAACTAGACACTTGAGACTAACAACCATAATACTCACTTCCTTTTCAGAATCAGACAGATTTTTCCAGTTTTCCTTTACAGTCTTCAGCTTTTCCTGTAAAACAATATATGTTTAAGTTAAGGTAGATATGGGGACTACAGTGACCTTTATTATTCATTCCAACAACAAAAACTCAGATACCAAGAATTACAGGCAAGGCCTCATCAATTCTTAACATCTTTTCTCTCTAAACAAAAACTATCAAACTGTTACAATTTCTAAAAATGAATTGAATGAAGGTATACATTTTTGATTCAGAAATATTAATATTCAGTTATAATCTATATGTTGACATAAACTAACCTCAAAGTCTGTTTTTATTCCTTCCCTGTAGCTTTAGGTTTTATTTGAAAATCTGTGCTTCAGTGTTTAGATACAGTAATAAAAACAATACAACACAAGTCCAGTAAGTCTACTTAGCTGAACTTAATTATATGACCTGGAAAAGGTTATTTTACCTCCCTTGGGCTTGGCTCTTCATTTATAAAATTAAAGGGATAGAATTTTTTTGTTGTCGTTTTTTTTTGAAACAAGGTCTGTCACTCAGGCAGGAATGCAGTAGTATGATCACAGCCCACTGCAGCATTGACCTCCTGGGCTCAAGTGATCCTCCTGTCTCAATTTCTGGAGTAGCTGGGACCACAGGTGTGTACCACCATGCCTGGTTAATTTTTTAAAAACCTTTTTTATAAAGATAGGGTCTTACCATGTTGCCCCGGGCTGGTCTTGAACTCCTGGAATCAAGCAACCCTCCCACCTCAGCTTCCCAAATTGTCAGCATTACAGGCATGAGCCACCGTGCCCAGCCAAAGATGTTTATTTTTGCTCTCCCTAAAATCCCATTAAACAAAGAAACCTTTTAAGGCATAAACCCACATGAACGAAGATAACAGAAGAGGGCACTGTCAACACAAAATTCTGGAAGCGAAAAAGCAGATGCATTAGTGGTAACTGACTTAACTGACAAAAGAAAGCTAATTGTTAAACGGACAGTGGAGAAAACCTAAAAGCAACTGATTTACAATACAGAATTCCCAAGTATCTCAGGAATTGGCAGCACCAGATAGGTATAAAACAGGTGAAGCTAAGGTTAAACACAAGATTGGCTGAAAGACTGTTTAAAAAAGAGATTAGGGCCGGGTGCGGTGGCTCACACCTGTAATCCCAGCACTTTGGGAGGCCGAGGCGGGCGGATCATGAGGTCAGGAGTTCGAGACCAGCCTGGCCAATATGGTGAAACCCCATCTCTACTAAAAATACAAAAAATTAGCCAGGTGTGGTGGTGCGCGCCTATAGTCCCAGCTACTAGGGAGGCTGAGGCAGGAGAATCGCTTGAACCCGGGAGGCGCATGTTGCAGTGAGCCAAGATCATGCCACTGCACTCCAGCCTGGGCCACAGAGTGAGACTCTGACTCAAAAAAAATAGAGAGAGGTTGGGTCGGGCATAGTGGTTCACAACTGTAATCCCAGAACTTTGAGGGGCTGAGGTGGGTGGATCACCTGAGCTCAGGAGTTCGAGACCAGCCTGAAGTAATATGGTGGTGATACCTCGTCTCTACAAAATACCCAAAAAATTAGCCAGGCTTGGTAGCACATGACTGTAGACCTAGCTACTCAAGAGGTTGAGGTGGGAAAATTGCTTGAGCCCGGAAGGCGGAGGCTGCAGTGAGCTGAAATAGTGCCACTGCACTCCAGCCTGTGTAACAGGCTGCCTGTCTCAAAAAAAAAAAAAAAAAAAGAGGTTAAATTTCTACCATGGCAAATTGTAGGACATTTATCCTCTCTAGAGAGTAAATTAGTGTCACTCTGTGAAAACCAGGTACAGGTACAGTTGAAGGAAATGGCACTATGCTAATAGCAGACAGATTAAGTTAAAATGTATCCAGCAGTTCAGGGGGAGAAAAAACAAAAAAGGAAAGAAAGCTAAAGGAAAACAGTACGGAAAAAATAAGAAAATTAGAGGACCAGCTCAGAAGATGCATATACAAGTAGCAGGAGTTCTAAAGGGGAGGGAAAAAAGCACCTGATCACATTCAAAGGATGAATAATCAAAACAAGTTTTAAATTTCTCAAAAGCAGTACAAAAAGGTAGAAGAAAAGGAATTTTTACATTTGGAAGGAATATGTTTTCCAAACTAGAATTCTATGCCCAGTCTAACAAGTGAATGTGAGGATACAGACATTTTCAGACATGCAAAACTCAGAAACTTAATTTCCCATGCACCCTTACCGGGAAAGATGCTACACAAGAATCAGAGAAAACCAAAAAAGTAAACAACAGAAGCAAAAGAAGCACCACAAGGATAATGAAGGAGATCTCAAGATGTTAGCTGTATACTGGGATTAGAAGGCAACAGTCACACTGGAACAAACCCCAGTTTTCAGAATTAAACTGAAAGAAAAATACATCCTAAATTTACTAAAAGCTGGTGAATACTGACAAGTTTGAGGGTGAACTATTGGTAAGTACAAAAAAAAAAAAAAACACAAATCTAACTGAACAAAGACATAAGCAACTTCAGGGAAAATAAGTTTCGTAAGAAAGAAAAAATAACCATAGCATATGACATAGCTCAGCTGTGAATAAGCCTGCATAATCATAATCATAATACTATTAGCTTGGTACAAAAGTAACTGCTGTGTTTGCCATTACTTTTAATGGCAAAGACCACAATTACTTTTGCACCAACCTAATACAAACACACAATACCGAGCTAACCAAAATTTTAACCATATTGGGAGGTAGAGGAATGGAAACATGAGAACCGTAGGATGACAGTTAAATGTATACTTTAAATGGTGGTAGGTAATGCTTAAAGCATAAGATAAACAATGATTTAAGTTGAAAAAAAAATCAAGAAGCAACAATATAAAATGTTATTTAGGGATACAGAAACAGAATTTGTAAAGTGAACTACAGATATAATAATCCCGAAGGCAGAATGCCAAAAATTTCATCTTAGATTAACATGGGTTAAGGATCTAAACATCCATTTCTCTTACCATGTCATATGATTCAAGAAAAAAAGCAACTGCCCATTTGGAGCTTCTAAGCAGCAAAAAAACAGGAAAGACTAAGCCACAGCAGGGATTGACAAGCTTTCTGTTTTCTTTGACACACTGATATGATGACATTCATAAGCATAACACATCCCTATGGGCATAACCAAAATTTTATTAAAAGATATAAATGACGCAACAGGTTACAATCAATTCCTCATAGAAAATATTGCAGCTCTACTCTCATTCTTTCTAGTGATTCTAAAACAGTTAAGAACTGCTGAAGCAGAAAAGCCTCCAGAAGAACTTTAACATCCCTACATATTTAAAAAAATGTTAAGTATTTATATTTAAAAAGTTGGCAATGTATGTATGTATGTGTTGGCAACTACATACCCAAATGGATTGTATGTGGTAAGAAAAAACATTTTTCTTAAAAGAGGGCCTTATCAAAAGAGTTTACTGTCTGGATATCCACTACTTTTCTTCACTACCTGACATACGGCACTCTAGACTTTTCCTGTCGAAGTATTTTTTAAATTAAACAAAAATGTATTTCAGCTTTACCTGCGGTGATTCACCCTTAGCTTCTTGGAATCTTTCAGCTACATAAACGTTATAAGCTGAACGAGGTCTTTTTGGTTTTCCAAGCTGTATTAACTCCTGAATTAAAAAAATTGGAGGGTCGGAAATAGTGTTAATCTCCATGAGACTTAATTTTACCTACAGAAACTTTATTCACTACTATGCATTACAGATTATTCCTTAAAGTGAATGTTATGATTCTTATATAGTGTGATTATTACATCTTGTGGTCAGAATTGTTTTGACAGCACTATTTTGAAAATTATATTAGATTTCACCAGTTATTTTCCATACAAAACCATTTCCTTTACCTAATATTTTCATAGTCTCCGTGAAATATATAACTGAATATATATGTACAAAACCTTTTTACAAGATAAAACAATCTCAAGCGCATCCTTGCAAGACACTACCGTCCCCTTGACCAAATCACTGCATGCTTCCACCACGACCCAAGAACAATGGACTATTTGTTTAATAATCTTTCATCTCATTCCATTCTCTGAATGTTTCCACCTTTAAAGCTCCATCGTTGTGTTAAATTGGTTTTACTAGTTACCAAAAGGGAAGAAACTATGGAAAAGAATACAAGTATCCCTTACTATCAGTTTAATTTCTGAGTTCAGGGAGTGATACTGCATTATCATACTTAAGTTTCTGAATTTGGATGGTAAGTAGTACCTGTAATTTATAAAATTCTGTGGCTCTTAATAGCAATTTGGCTATAATCAGTAACAAATTCAACTTTTATTCATAACTATAAGTAGGACTCCTCTGATTTAGTTTCTTCTCTCCGAATCTCTCAGTCACTAAGTACTGAAACTACTATAGACTCCAAGCACTTTGAAACTTAACTATTTCCCTCTTTGTTTCTAGAGCTACCACTAGGGATTTCTCTCCTGAGGGTTTTACTTGTAACTTCCTAGTCCTCACACTTCTCACTTGATCTCTGAACTAGCTGGTACTGGGAGTCAAGAACAACTACAAAAGAAAGAGAGAATGACAAGGGAAACTTTATAAACGTCCAGTTCTCGTTTCTGGTCCTCTCTACTCTTAGCACAGTGGGCTGGGCGCATTAAGGAGGAAGGGAGAATGAAAGAGGGAGGATATACTTTAGTAATCGCTCTTCCAAACAGCATCCTTATGTAGACACTCTATTTTTCACTCTTAGTATCTTTCTGGCTTCCTTTTACTGATCAGATCAGCCACCCTAAAGTAGCAGTACCATGGTCTCAAAACTGGGCGGGTCCTCAACCCTAGTGCTAGGACAGCTTAAAACATTAGGGTCAGGGAAAGATGTTTTGGCGTCTCACATTCAAGGGTGTAATCTAGTCTTTCAAAGAAATAGTTTTAACTCTGATGATCATTTTGTAATAGTGCAGGTACACGACTAGCAAACTGACCACCTCACAACTAATACTGGCTCCACGAAAAAAATGTGTAACTTTCAAACAATGACATTTATGTAAATTAATACATTAAGCTGGGAACTACAAATTTTGAACCATGTGAGGTTTTTAATAATTACTTCTTTGAAGAAAAAAAAAAAGAATTCCATTCTAAAGGCACTTAATTGATTAGATAAAATTGGCATTTTCCTGATGTGTTAATGAATTAATGCAGTCTACTCAGCAATATTCCATATCAAACTCACCATAATCTATAGAATAATTCAAATCAATACGTTATTCTAGAGAAGACTCAGAAGCAAAGATTCTTGCTACTCCTGGTTTGACTGTTTCATAACTCTGTTCCTGTAGTTTTCATTACTGTTCTACTAACTGTACACCTTAAATGTGGATACATCTGAAAGTAGCAACAAGGATTTCCAAACAGACTCAATGACAAGTGGTCCTAGTGGCTAGCTCACTTTTCAGAAGAGAACTATCCCACTTCTGCCTAACTGAAGAATACCTGATGACATTCTACCATATTGTATCTGCCTATTATTATTAAGAGAAAACTACCTATATTCATAGTTATATAAATCTCAATTCTTTACCATAAGAAAAAAGTATTTCAATGATACTCACTTTTCTTTTTGTCACAGCTTTCCTTTTTAAACGCTTGTCCAGGATTTCTTTTTCCAAAGATGTAATCTCATCTGGAGTTAGCTGTTCTTTAAATTTGCTTATTTTTTCTTTGTATACCTCCCACTCCGCCTTATAAGCATCTCGATATATCTATAAATAAAAAACCCAAATCAAGTCAAACTATTGCTGGCAAATTCAACACAGCACATGCCAGGGAAAGGCAACTGCGTGACTTCAGATAGAGAGATTTTATCACCAGGTGGAAATGTGCTCTAGGATGAGGATGTATATGGATTAAAACATACATTTTCCTTATACATACTAATCAAGGTGAGAGTATAGTAATCAGCCTCCATTTTCAAACTGCTGACACTTCTTCACCTTCACCCCATACATCCATATTCTCACTATGCAGATGAGAAGATATAAAGTTTCTTTGTAGATAACAGATTATTTTTTAAAAAGTCTGATCCATCTGGTCCTTTAAAGAACACGATAATAGTTCCTAACTGCAGAATAACTGGTCAGCCATGTTGAAAACTTATGTGCTTACTTTTTTCTCTGAATCAGGAAGTTCCCTCCAATGCTTGGCAATTCTTCTAACTAGTTCTGTAGTTTTTGCATCTATGGAATGAAATAAAATGAAAAAAGATGCCACAATTTTACATCTCAGGATAATTTCTAAAGATATCCAGGAAAGCACAATCCATACCACACATAACTTAATAAAATGATTTAACTTTCCTGTATCCAACTAATTTAAATGTAAGTAATTTATCCAACATTATTAAAAGTCTGTTATCTAACAACTAAGGAGTATATCATATACCACCAGAAACAGTCAACAGTTTGATTACTAGGTGTTTTTTTTTTTTTTTTTGAGACAGGGTCCGTCACCCAGGCTGGAGTGCAGTGGCACAATCTAGGCTCAATTCAACCTCTGCCTCCTGTGCTCAAGTGATTCTCCTGCCTCAGCCTCCCAAGTAGCTGGGACGACAGGTAGGCGCCATCATGTCCAGCTAATTTTAGTATTTTTTGTAGAGACGGGTTTTCGCTATGTTGCCCAGGCTAGCCTCAAACTTCTGAGCTCAAGCAATCCACCTGCCTCAGTCTCCCAAAGTGCTGGGATTACAGGCGTGAGCCACTGCACCAGGCTGATTACTAGTTTAAGAAGCTGGATGATTAATTGCTTCAAGTTTTTTACTTCCATATTTCAAGCAAAATACTTTTTCAAGTCTTTGAGGACTTATTAAACTTATAAAAGCTAACAACAAAATACATTCTCAATTCATAACATTGCCTCGTATTTCAGTAACAGAAATATCATTTGGAAACAAACTATTCGAAATTCAATCTGTTATTCTCCACTTTCTTCTTCATCTTAACCGGAATGATGGCGTGCAATTAATTGATTTTTTAAAATACCTGTTAGTACTAACTCTTACATTTAAAAGATGTGGGTATTTAAGCATGTCTCTGAAACTAACTCCTTACCTATAATGTGAGCTGCTTTTTTTTTTCTTTTTTGAGAAAGGGTCTCGTTCTGTCACCCAGGCTGGAGTGCAGTGGAGCAATCATGGCTCACCGCAGCCTCAAGTTCCTGGGATCCAGTGATCCTCTCACCACAGCTTCCCAAGTAGCTGTGACTACAGGCACTGTGCCCTGACGCCCACCTCATTTTTTGTAATTTTGGTAGAGACAGGATTTCCATGTTTCCCAGGCTGGTCTCGAACTCCTGGGCTCAAGCAATCCACCCACCTTGACCTCCCAAAGTGCTGGGATTACAGGTGTGAACCACCTCACCCAGCCTAATGTGAGCATTTTTTATTATAGTTCGTTAGATTTTCACAACTGCCCTGTGATGCTTTAGAAATCATAAGGAAAAAAAATAGCTATTACCTTTACACTATAACCTAAAATAACAGCCCTACAGGCTTTCTAGGGCATCAACAAACATCCTACCTGGAAATGTTTTTTTTTCAGGAACCCAAGACAAGAAAGGATTTATCCTTTACAACCCACCATCCCCTTGGCAAGGCTGAGGTCTGAATCAAAGAACCAGAGTGGCTCTGAACTCCTATGATGGAAACGTTTATGTTTTCTTATCTTGAAAGCTCCTGAAAGCAGCAGTAATTTGCATAGAACTTTACAGTTTATGGATGCTTCCACAGAAGCTGCAACGTTATTAACAATTCCCTGAGGCAGAAAAAGGAGGAGCTAAGCAAGAGAAAATAATTCATCAGTGGTCCTCTAGACCAAAGGCAACCAGGCCCGAAATTCAGCTTTTTTATCGTCTTCCTAGGGTGCTTTCTACACTACACGATATTTTTAAAATACCGTTTATTAGTTCTCACTTATATTGAAAGTATGTTCATTTGGTATAAAATAGAACTTCCTATTTTACAGACATCAAATGATTGTTCCTGCAGTCACTGAATGCTTTAGTACTGCAACTCAACATTGCTATTTAACTGCTTAATGGCATTTTTATTACATGAGAAAAGGGTACAAGCCCCCAAACACCTTACCTGGGTTCTGAGCTCTATATATGGGTAGTTGTTGTTTAGAAAATCGAAGGTAAGAACTTACAGGTTTCTTTGGACAACTTGCCAAGACAGATGAAAACCACTTCGGTAAATACACAAAACTACATATGAATAAAAAGAAAATAACCAGTATCAGATGTTTAACTGTCAATATGCACATGTATATTATGAGCATAGATCCCAAATAAGAGATGTCATCAAGATACTCCTATGTCTCCAACGCCTTCAACAAGAATGCTAGAGAATTATTAAAACCCTGTCCTAAACGGAGGGGAGCGACTGCAGGACGGAAGTCTCAAAGCCCTTACCTCCTAGGAAGGGCAGAGAGTGGAGGAAAGCGTCTATACTCCAGCTCCTGGGCCCCGCCTCCTCAATGCCTAGATGGTGGCCAGACACTGCGCGCGAATTCGCAGAGGCGGCGCAATGGATCCAAAGCTACAGTGAGGAGGGGTGGGAGGAGCGAGCGGAGGGTAGCAAGAAACAAGGTACGGGGTATTAAGGGAGTCAAGGCCTGGTCTCAAAGCCACAGTCCCCTTGGCAAGGTCGAGGTCTGAATCAAAGAACCAGGGTGGCTCTGAACTCCTAGGAGGGGCAGACAGTGAAGGATGGGGTCTACATTCCAGCCCCGGGACGTCCTGGGCCCTGCCGCCCCCTAGGGCACAGGCGAGCGGGCCTACCTGAAGGGGGAGCGCAGTCGACTCCCACAGCCGCTGCACAGCTCCGCTCCGGACCTTCCCAGCGCATTCAGCACGCCCCACATGCTCCGGAGAAACGCCATCGCTCCAGCGGATGAGGCAGTGACCCGGCCCCAATATCGGAGAACCTCCTGACACTACAGAAAAACCCCAGCAATCACAACTGGAACCCGCGTGCGACCCTCCGGTGTTTGTTATCATGCCCGCCACTAGTGAGGCACTATGGGAAATCTGTTAACATCCGGTCGGTAGATGGGGGCGGGGCAGGGCGGAATTGGCGCAGGCGCGGGAGAGCGTCCCCGGTGGGCGGCACTGCGTGGGAGGAAGAGGCGCCGCGGAGATGAAGGGAAACCGCAACCCGCTAGCCTGCGGAGGGCTCTGGCCTCGAGGGGGCGCTGCTGAGCCGCCTCTGGCCCCGACGGCCCGGAGCAGTGGGTTCCTCTGCCCGGCCAGGAAGGTGATGGAGGGACCGCGGCGGACGCACCCCGACCCGGCGTTGGCCGGTGTCCGCCCGTGACGGCCACAAAGGCTGTACGTAACAGACAGTCCTGCATCCAGGACCCCGAGGTCCGATCGGCAGGTGCTGTGCGACAAGCGCAGCGTCTCAGTTTCAAGCCAGGGCTGGGAGCTCGGAGTTCAGAAATAGTACCGGGAGAGGAGGGGATTCGCAAACTTAAAACTGCAGATTCCAAGCCTTTACCGCAGAGCTTAATTCCGTGTGTCTGTGTGGGGCCCATTAATCTGCATTTTAGCGAGTTCCCCAGAGTCTGACAAGTTCTAATGTCTGTGGTCTTGGGACCACATTTAAAGCAATATAGTTTTAGACTGTTTATTCTGCCATCTACTGCAGTCTTCCAGTCTGGCCTCCAGCCTGCTTAATTTGAGCGGAGGAAACTGACTAGTTGTCCACAGTCTCTAGTCTCAATTCTCGTTCCAGTATTAACATTAACGACTTGGGAATATTGCATTCCCTCGTTAAGATTCAGTTTCCCCCTCTGCAAACGAGGATGTTAGACGAAATCAGAGTTTTCCCAACCAAAGCCCTGAGAACTTGTGACAAGTATGCCTGAGACATTGATGTGTCAAAAATTGCTGTACAATTTTTTTATTTGTGTTATACCATTTTCTATATAGGCAATGGCATGAAAAAGATTAGGAAAGACCTAAAGATATCTAAGGGTCCTTCCAGCCCTTAAACACCAGTTGTTTCAGCGCTAACCACCTTCCGAGACAGCCTTTCTTCTGTTGTATAGTCATAATCGTTAGAAAATTCTTACCAGTGTCATGTTGAGCTGACAGTCTATTACCTTTCTGTAACTATGAAAACATTGGCTCTCTGAAAGTAGGACTAAGCCTACTTCTTTTAAGCGGTAATAACCACTTCCCTTTTATAGACTCTCAGGGTTGAAAGGGACCTTCCAGGTCATCTGTTCAAACCTCCCATTCTGGCATGGAATAAACAGGTTTTCTTCCTGAGTATATACTATGTACAACGCCCTAAACATAGATAAAAGACACAGTGTTGTGCCCCAGCCTACCCCCGCCCCCAGCGCCAAACGGTGAGACAAAGTAGTAAATAATTACAACACGGGGCTAAGATAGAAGTTATATTTAAGTTGATTTCTAAAATAACTTGTTTCCCTCTTTGTTCTAGAATATTTTTGTTCTTTCAAATGTTTGACATAAACTTCTTTTGATTATTAAACAAACTTTTTGTTGTTTGCAACTTTCATTTGTATAAATCTTGCTGTAAAGACCTCAAAAATCAAATCCGTAACATTTTTCATCACATACCAGTCTTCCTTAAAACTCACTTACATTGCAGTGGTAATTTTACTTCTAAAAGCAGAATTTGCAAAGAAACATAACTTTATCCACTAAAACTGTCATTTAACAAAAAGACATGGTTTATAATTACTTTATAAAACATGAAGACTTACTGCAGTCTTTCCCACGGTCCCTTTGTTGTAAAGTTCATCTAATCCCATGACTTCAGTTATTAGTTGTAGCCTCATGATTGCCATATTGAATCCAGTCCTCTCCTTTGAGTTCTATATCCATATAACCACTGTCTTCTGTACATTTTCACCATCATGTCCCACAAGTACTTCAATTTCAACATTCCCTGAACAAAATTCACTATCTTTCCCCCCTCTTGAAGTCCTTTTCTTGGTAAGAGGCACAAGTTTTCCTCTTTAATCATCCGAGCCAGTAACTTGATAAATCATTTTAGAATCTCCCCATTGACACTGCACCCACCATTAACCAACTGATGATGAGTATTGCTGATTCTACCTCATTCATCCCTCTACTATGTATTCCCTTCTCTCCAGTCCCATTGCTGTTGCTTTTGTTCAGGCCAGTAATATGCTGGTAAATAGCTCTCCATAAAACAAAGCCCCAATTTGTAGTGTTTGCTGAGTTTTATGGTGTAAATACTCCCACCATTGGCAGATTTCATGCTAGTGACAAATTTTTCTTTCCCTATTAACATGCAAACACACATATTACATAATCAGCATTGCACTTCTCTTTCTATTGAACTTTTAGTATTTCTTAAATTAGTAATATTTGAGCAGAAACATTGTGGTAGTTGATGAAAAATTAAAACAACACACCCTGAAGTTGGATTGCACTTTAATATTTTCAGACCTTTTAAAATAACTTTATTTGATTGTATGATTCACAAATCAAAAAAAAAAAAGGTTGAGAAGGTATTGTCATGATCATTATTCCCAATTTCCAGATGAGAAAAATGAAGTTCAGAAAGCCCAACTCATAAGGTTCCAACAGTAAGTTGTGTAGGTAAAAATTGCAATTCATTGTCCTGTGCTTTCCGTTTGTATCAGATCACTCAGACTCAGTGAACATGCCACATCATTCCAGCCCAATATATTTTTATTGGATCATCTATAGTGTGTTCATATCATTTACTTGTGACATCATGTACCACTCTGGCTTCTGATCTTTTTCTCTATGTATACATATTTTTTTCCTCAATAGATGGTAAGTTATATTAGGAAAAGACTAAATCTTATGCCTTCTTTTATCCCCATTGTAGCTAGCACAGTACACTAAGCATGATAGATGGATGAAGAGACAGACGGATGGATGAATGAACTGATAGATAGATAGATAGATAGATAGATAGATAGATAGATAGATAGATGACAGACATATAGATACATAGAGAGAGATGAATAGTGTGAAAAGATTACCATCTGCACAAATTATTTATATATAAATTTCGCCCCATAGAGAACAACTACCTGTTAGAAGTGTCATTTGCCAATAGAAGGACACATTTGCCAGTGTATGGAGATGGAAACCATGTAAAATTCTGAAATATATACATCCATGAAAGTAATGATTATGGTTCATTGAGACTTGCATATTGGTAAAGTAGCAGGTAGTGTCAAGAAACAGCAGGAGCAACCGGAAACCTGGATAATTCGCTGCTGAATAATGCAGTTAGATGCACACAGATCACTCAAATGAAGAAAAAATATTGCTAAGAGAAAGCAGTCTTGCTTTTGTAATTATAATAGATAAATAATTTAGCTACAACAGGAGCAATTACCTAATAGGTTTTAGTAGGATAAATAGATGTGATTCTGAACTTGTAAGTAAAATATCTCTGGAAATAAGATCATACTATGAACACCACATTTAAAGACAATTTCCTCATAAGCAATTACATAGCACTGTGATAAGCACTTGAAAGGGACACAAAAAGGATAAGACATTGATCCTGCCCCAAAGAGCTTCCACTGTGATTGGGGGAACAAAGCATAAAGACACAAAAAGAATAAAAGTATAACAGTGCATTGCAGAAATGAGAAAACATGGCCGGGCGCGGTGGCTCAAGCCTGTAATCCCAGCACTTTGGGAGGCCGAGACAGGCGGATCACGAGGTCAGGAGATTGAGACCATCCTGGCTAACACAGTGAAACCCCGTCTCTACTAAAAAATACAAAAAACTAGCCGGGCAAGGTGGCGGCGCCTGTGGTCCCAGCTACTCGGGAGGCTGAGGCAGGAGAATGGCGTGAACCCGGGGGTGGAGCTTGCAGTGAGCTGAGATCTGGCCACTGCACTCCAGCCTGGGCAACAGAGCGAGACTCCATCTCAAAAAAAAAAAAAAAAAAAAAAAGAAAGAAATGAGAAAACATTTTACACCGTGAATCTCTCCTAGCTTATTTTTTCTGTGAAGCAAAGTTTTAATAAATTATGTATGGAAAACTACTTGTATAATTTTTTCTTTCAAACCATTTTTATTGACATAGAGTCTGTTTTCATGCCACTGGAGTCAGCCTTTAAAATCAATATACAAAAAGAAGGGAAAGAGAAATAGAGAAATTAGAAGAAAGATCTGTTGCATGTTAATAGTTCCCAGCTACCCAAAATTATTATTATCTGTAAATTATTTCTCAATTAGAACAAAGTCTGCATTAATTGTTAAGGGCATATCAGAATTATTTAAAGCCATTGCTGTAGCAGCATTACAAAAAATAAATATAGCTTGTCTATTTTAAAGCTGATTCTGTGAGTCAGCAGGAGGTAGGACAAGCAAAAAGAACAGCTATAATTTTATGCAAATGTATAATACCCCAATTCATATTACTGGATGTTACTGAAAGCTGACTTCATATTACTGAAAGCTGACTTAAAGATCGGAAGAAATCCAGAATGATTGTATTGAAGGAATAATACCATTAATAAGACAATATAACCTAATGTGTCTGCCCTCATGTCATGGTAAAGTACCTGATCAATACAAATGGTAATAATTATAATTTATTGCTCAACTACATGCCAAGTATTTTACATACATTATCACTAATCCTTTCATAAATCCTCTAAGGTGCTATGATTTCTACTGTACAGCTATGAAAACTGGTATTCAGATATATAAATAAGAGGAAGGATATCTTCCCTTGTTAGCATGTTAACAAAAATTGCCACCTCTGAATCCACAGTTTGCAGCTTTGAAGTTATATGACTCTATGTAGCTACAGGATAGGCAAATCAGTTATGAAGCTGTAGTTTTCTCAAACACCTGCTCACATTCTATTATTTCTTTCCAGTCCCCATAAATACTTTCTTATTTAACTGAGTGGCTTATTAAAATAATATCTTAAGCCAGGGCAGTGGCACATGCCTGTAGTCCCAGTTACTTGGGAGGCTGAAGCAGGAGGATTGCTTGAGCCCAGAAGTTTGAATCTAGCTTGGGCAACATAGTGAGACCCTTTCTCTTAATTAGTATTCAGTCACCCAAAAACATAGGCTTGAATTTAAAGGACTACACATACACATATGCATGAGTGTGCATGCATAAATGACTGCGAAATAGTACACAAAATTTGGTTTAATAGTGATTGTATCTGAGTATTACAGGAGTGCGTGGGTGGTACCCATTTTTTAATTTATATATATTATATATCTTAGTCTTCTTGTAAAACACAATAGTAATATTAATCTTTTGGTAACAATTTTTTAAAAACTCAATTCCTAGGAGAGGCCAATACTGTGCCAGACACTGTGCTAAGTTCTAAAAATACATATGGTTGGGCGCAGTGGCTCACGGAGGGATCACTTGAGCCCAG